GGGGGAGAAAAAGAGATGGAGGGGGGGGGAGAAAAAGAGATGGAGGGGGGGGAGAAAAAGAGATGGGGAGGGAGAAAAAGAGATGAAAATAAAAATAAAAATAGAAAGGCAAAAATAAATAAAAATCAAAATAGCAGCCCCAACCACCCACTGAGTCCCAGTGTCAGTGTCCCTGCTGGAGCTGGGAATGAGTGAGGAAATCAGCACTGGGGGCATCAGCTGGTGTGGGAGCCCTGGGAGGGGGTCCCCCAGCCCTGGGGAGAGCAGCTGAACTGGGAGGAGCTGGGGCTGCACTGGGTGGGTTTTTTTAAAAAACCCAGCTGGAGCCTGGAGATTTTCTCCAGCTGGATGGTGAGAACAACCCGGGGTTGTGCTGGAGATGCTGGGAACTGTGATCCCACCCCCCCAAAGTGGGGTTGAAGCCCCCCCTGGAGCTCAGGAGGGTCCCAGGGGATGGGGGGAGCTCACCAGGTTCTTGAAGAGCGCGGTGACCTCACGGGTGAACACAGCCAGGTTGAGGAAGCCAGTGGAGAGCTCGTGGTTGTTCTGGGAGAGGTGGTTGTTGCCAAAGCTCTCCAGGGCTTCGCTGTACTGCTCCTCGTTCTCCACGTGGGCTGAGAGGGGAGACACCAGTGAAGGGGGGAGCGTGGGGTGACCCCCAGGACCCCACATCCCTGGGCATGGCCACGTCGGGAGGTCCCAGCAGCACCCAGCATCCCTCCTGCCCAGCCCTCTGGAGCCAAGCTGGGCTGGTCCTGCTGCAGGACAGCAGTGCTGGGTCCTAAACATCCCCCCCCCCGAGGGGCTGGGTTGCTCTCCTGGAAGGAGGTTGGAGCAAAGCGGGGGGATCGGTCTCTGCTCCCAAGGAACAAAAAATAGGACAAGAGGGGAATGGCCTCAAGTTGCACCAGGGGAGGTTTAGATCTGATTTTAGGAACAGTTTCTTCCCCAAAGGGTTTGTCAGGCTGCCCAGATGGGGGGTCCCCATCCCTGGAGGGGTTTCCAAGCCCTGGGGATGGTGCTGAGGGACACTGGGCAGCGGGGACTGGTCAGGGCTGGGGGAAGGGTTGGACTTGGGGATCCTAAAGACAATCCTATGAGCCTATTGTTCTACAATTTTCCCTTTTACCCCTTTTTAAGGCAGTTTTGGGCACACTGAGACGTTCCCAGGCTGGCTGTGAGCACCCATGGCCACCCCAACCCTCCTGCTGCATCACCCCAAATGTGCCCAGTGCTGGTGGAAAATGGGGATCCCTGGGGGGGGTCTGGGATGGTCCCATCAGTTCTCAAAGCACAACTCACTGAGCCCAGAGACATGAATGGCTTTCACATATTTCCTGATCCTCTGGAGCACAGCTTGGTCCCCATCCAGGCTCTGGGAAAGTGAAGAAAGGCCAGAAACTGGAGCTGGGTGGCCCTGCCAAGGGAGGCCGTGGTTCCCCCAGCCCAGCTGGCCCTGGGATGGAGGCTCCTCTGCCATGCAGATGTGTGGGGCAGCAGCCAAGCTCCTGGGGCTGGGAGAAGAGCTGGAGCCCTCCCAGGGGATGGTGGAGCTGCAGCATCCAGCTGGTCCCCAGGGCTTGTCTGGGGCTGCCCTGGAGAGGTGGGTTTGAGCCAGAGGGGAGCAGGAGGTGAGAGGCCCAGCACCTCTTTGGGTCCCAGCAGCTTCCATGGGAAATGCCTCTCTGGCTCTCACTGGGGCTGTTTCAACCCAGGAAGGGATGAAGCATCACAGAGTGGTCCAGGGTTGGAAGGGACCTCTGGAGATCATCCAGTCCAACCCCCTCCTAGAGCAGGATCCCCTGGAGCAGATCCCACGGGATCCAGGTGGGCTGGGAATGTCTCCAGGGATGGAGACTCCACAGATCACTGAACACAAACACACCAGGGGCTCCTGCCACCCCAGCACACGTCCCCAGGGCTTAGGACCAGGAAAGGAGGGACCTACAAAGGTGCCCAGCCCCTCTGGGGGCTCCACAGCAGAGCCCAAATCGGGACCCACCTCCCACCAGTGGGACCCAAACCACACAAACCTCAGCTTCCCACAACTCCCCCCACCACCCTCCCCAGCTAATTCAAGGTGCCCCCAGCACCCTGGCCCCCCTGGCTCAACCCAAGCACCCCCTTTTCTCCCCCACATCCTCCCTCCACACCCCCCTACCCGGGCAGCCCCCATTCCCCCTCACCCATCACGGGGGGCAAACTTCCCCCCAACACCCAGGGCAGCCAAATCCACAGCAGCTCCAGCCATCAGGAAAGGGTTAAGGGAGGTTTGGCTGCAGGTACCAGAGCCATGATAACAGGCTGGAAATATTTCGAGGGCGTGAACAGTGAGAAGGGCAGGGATGAAACCGCCGAGGAATTACAATAAAGAGCCTCTCTCCTTCTCCCCTCTCTCCCTCTCCAGGCTCTCTCAAGCTCTTGCTGAAGGTTTTCAGGCTGATGTCAAGGCTGATTTCCTGACAGCAGGGTCAGCCTGGCTCCAGCCCTGCTCTCCAGGGCCCTCCCCATTGGCCAGGATGCTGTGGACAAGTTCTGGCCAGGATGAGGCAGCTGAGAGGGGATCAGGGCTGAGGTGGGAGCCAAACCTCCCCACCCCAGGGGGGTCTTGCCATGCATCTGCACTGGGGAGGGTGGTGGGGTGCCCCAAAGAACCCCATTGCCAGGATGAAGCTCAAACCAGGACACCCATGCTCCTAGTCTGGGCATTCAGACTCTCTTGGGATGCCTGGCAGCTCCAGGCTCACAAACCTCGTGTAGCCTCAGGGAGGGGAAACTGAGGCAGCGTGAGATGCTCTGGGGGCATCTCCATGCAGGGAGCAGCTGCTCCCCAGTATCCAGGATGGGGCAGCCCCCCCCGGGTGGCAGCTCACAGCCACAGGAGGCTGAATGCTGGGACCAGGGACCACCTGGGGATGGTCAGAGGGGTTTTTGGGAAGGGATCCACGGGGGGAGATGGGGCAGGCAGAGCCGAGCACCAGGGTGGTAAATGCAGAAGGAATCACTGCAGGGGCACCCCCCAAGGTACTGGGGCAGCTGCCAGGGACACAGCACAGCCCTGCACAGGGACAGCCCCCTGGAATGGGGGGCAGTGATGGCTGGAGCCCCCCCCTGGAGCACCCATCACCCCCCAGCCCAGCTCAGGGACAAGGGGGGGAAGCTGAGGACATTGACACAGCAGGGACAGGAGCCCCAGGGATTCCCATGGGGATGGAGGAAGGGACAGACCTGCAGCTGCACCCCAGGCAGCCAGGGGACCCCGAGCAGCCCCCGCCACCCCCCTGCCTGGCAGGGAGCTCAATGGGGGCCATTCTTCTGCCTCCCCCCCCTCCCTGCCCCCGGCTCGTGCTGCCTGGTGACAGGAGCCACCGTGGGTGCCAGGGGGGGGTGGCAGTGCCAGGCCAGGAGCAGGACATGGCACTGCCCTGGGTGCAAAGGGCAGCGTGTGGCGGGGCAGGGCCACAGCAGGATGGACAGGGCGAGCTGGGAGCCAGCTCTGCCCCCAGCCCTGCCAGCAGCCTCTGTCACGTCGCCCTGCCCCAGCCAGGAGGTGCCCAGTCCCATGGGACACGCACACAGCACCCAGCCCCAGCCACCAGGGGCTGGATCAGACCTCCCAGCTCACTCCAGAGATCCAGGTTCTGCCTCCCAGCAGCTCCAAGGGCCACAGAGTCACACCAACCCCCTGGGAGAGGAGAGCCCCCTTTAACCTCAGGAGGGAAACTGAGGCACGGAGCAGCTCCAGCCAACACCAGCGTGTTTCCCTGATGGTGAGCACCAGCTTTTGGCCCTCCTGTCATTCCTGTCCCCCAGTTTGGGACCAGTCCCCAGACTGGTGTATATGGCAGCCCCTGGAAGGTGGCAGTGCCACATCTGGGGGATCTGGTGGGACACAGGGACTCTTCCCACCCAGCAGCCACCAGAGCAAGGCCAGGAACCCTGGCTCCCTCTTGCTCCCCAAACCACCAGCCAGGATCTGGAGTGACAGAGAAGACCAAGGCTTGGTTTGATGTCACGGGGTCTCTCCTGCCCCCCAGAGTCACCCCCATTTATACCCCCCCGGGAGCTCAGGGGGCAGCCTGGGGCTGGAGAGGTGGGATTTCCCCAGAGCACCAAGATGCCAAAGGTCTGGTGGTGGTTTGACCACCACGACAGTTCCCTACAGCCTCCCATGGGATGGGATGGGATGGGATGGGGGGGCTCAGCCCCATGCCCCCTCCCCAGCCTCTCAAGGGACGGGGGCTCAGCCCCCCCCCAGCACCAGTCAGGACTCCCAGCTCCCAACCACGGGGGCTGGAGCTTCACCAAGCAAACCCAGCTGAGATCCCACCACTCCCGGGGGTCACCTCTCCCCCCCACCCCC